GGGGGGGGGGGGGGGGGGGGGAGAACTTGATACCGATGATGGTATAACCATGGTACTGGCCATAAACGTGGTAAAGGCCACAACACGGCCACGGTAAATCGTGAGTATGACTGTCACAGAACAAGGCCATTCTTTTGCTGGCAGTGTGCATTGAACACTCGCTGGCCGCACCTGCAGCCAGCAAGACAATGCATCATGCTCAGACCAATGTATTTGGAACCCTAAACCCTAAACCCTTGTAAGGTTAATGGTAGCAACCAGAGCAGTATTGAATGCAGAGACCAGGGGCATGAGAACACTGAGAATCAGCATCATTACCCTTTACGCAAGGCACCAGCATGACGTCATGATGATGATGATGACGATGATTTGATCCTTGTGCAATGGCAATGTACAGCGTACAACATTACATGTGTGCTCTCTCAGGGTGCGCTTGACGCAGTGGACTCCACCCATGGTTTCCAGCGACTGCCGGAACTTGGTGCAAGCACTTGTAAGCTTTCGGCTGTCAAGTAACCCGAAGTCTCTTAGCCTCTTAGCCCTCACTGATCTTGGCTAATATGGAGGCCTTAATATACTGCTCTCTAGGGGTTCCTCATATTTTTTTATAGTAGAATATTTCCCAAAGCAGTATTCTATTGATACAGGCCCTTTCCTACAGGAATTTAATCCAGTTCTGCTCTCCTGACTGGGCCCTTTTTTGGAGCGTATGAGATCCATCCCATTCATCATGCCTGCATCGCAGCCCAGGATGTGAGGACAGTAAAGCCACGGGAACCAGACATCGACATTGACGACGTGCCAGCGATACTTAACATCAAAGCTTTGCAGCCTGAGGCATCCAACACCTCGTCTCTGCAATTTCCATTTGGCATCGATGGCATCTGTGCCGGCGAGCCCTTCGAGCACCTGTCGGAAGAGTTTCAGAAGTTGCTCGACCAGCTGGTGCAGCAGCACATGCGCGAGGTTTCGAGGGCTGAGCTCGAAGTGGAGGCTCTCCGACGTGAGGCCATGGAGAGGGCCAAGGATCCTTGTGATCCCTGCGAGGTCGGGTCTGCAGTGACAGTGCGGACGATCGGCTCAAAGGGCTCCAACAGGGGCTCTCCCGTGCTACAACCGGGGTCCAAGGGAAAGCGGCGCACATCTCAAGCCGGCCACGGCCCCAGCCTGCACGCCAGCGAACTGCTGGGGGTCTGGGACGCGAAGGAGGAGGATCAGACGGACCTTGAGAAGTTCTTCAAAGGCAAGTCCAAGTCCGACGTCTCCAGCAAGCTGCTGAGGAAGGAGACTGATTCGGAGGAGTCTAGGTCCGAATCGGTTCTGGCCGCCGAATACCAGAGGAAGCCGTTCATCGAAAAGATACGTGCGTGGCTTCAGTCGCACCAATACGAGACTCGGCATTTTTTGGACTGCAGCAGTTGCGTAGGTCGATTCGTCTGCTGCTAGCTCACCATCAACTGAATGTTGCGTTGAACGTGCTCATCACCGCAATGCTCGGGATAGCCTACATGGTGGCACGTTGTGGTTGATATTATCAGGATGAGGGTGCTGGTTATGACGATTGTGCTTGTCATAGCTGTCTAGTTAAACCTCCACCATCGATGTGCGAACCCATTTCTCGCGCGAACCTTGGCACCGGAACCTCAGCCAAACCGAGAATAGAAGTGTCTCATGGTATTGGCTCCCTCAAATCCAACTGCTAAATTCGCCGCTCTACTACCCTGCACCATACCATACTAATTACTATGCTACAGTAAGTACTCCGACGACGACTTGTACTACTACTGCTGCAGCCGCCCCTGCTACTACCACCACGCGCCTACCATACCGACCAGTACCACTGCTACCGCAAGCTGAACAATCTGTTAGCAACAGTCGCTGCATAAACCAGGTGCAGCAACGACTACTACAAATCGAACGGCCGGCTTGACGAACTGAGTTGTCAGACGATTGTGACAACAGCGCTCGCATGGATTCCATTGCTCAATGTTCACCATCTCAGATCCCCCAAAAGACGGGAGACCCTAAGTCAGTCCTTTGACCCTTGAAGCTACTGGGTCTACAAAGCCCCTCAAGTTGAAACGCTTCTTTACCAATCTCGCAAACCCTGACAGCTGACTAAGACTGAAGAGTTTTGTCCCTGCATTCTACCCCTTGCTGAGTGAAGGGCTTTTCTCAACGAACTATCAGTCTCAGAGAACAAGGGACACTCGTATCGACTCAACACACGATCAGCTTTTGGGGACCCCCCCCCCCCAAACATCATGCGTGGTCGGCTTCCTACATCATAGGGCCTGGACCTTATCCAAATAGTTCCAAGGAGATGGTCATGGCAGGAATCCTGCTGCTCAACGTCTTGTGGATGGCCTTCGAACTTCAGGTGGGAGACCGTGCAAAGATGCGAGGTCTAGGGAGTTGTTCATGTTGAGCTACAACGGCTACAGGCTTAAGGCTTAAGATGGAGACTTCAACCGTTTTGTCCGGATGCCAAAATCCGAAAGACTTCAGCGTAAAGGCTCTAAGGCACTGGCACGCTGGGTTTAGGCTTCAGGATTTAGGGTTTAGCAGTAAAGTCTAGGACTGTCATTCTCACTGTTGCGCTGTCATTACGAACAAGCCAAGCATCTCCATGTAAGGGGTGGTTTCTCACTGTATAGATATACACACAAATATATACGTACATATATATATATATGTATTATGTACATACATGTATGTATGTATGTATGTATGTTTGTTTGTTTGTTTGTTTGTTGTTTGTTTGTTTGTTGTTTGTTTGTTTGTTTGTATGTACGTAGGTATGTCTGTATGTACGTATGTATGTATGTATGTATGTATGTATGCATGTATGTATACACATGTATAGTATGTATATGTAGCGCAGGAATTGTAAGGGTATGCTCTGTGCAGCGTGCCCTAGTCTCGAAAAGCGCATCCCGTCACGAATCTGTCGGATCAAATGTTGACGGGTTTAGGCTGAAAGCTTCAGACCTTGCAAGACATGAGCGTGTGCGGAAAAGCATAAAGAGGCAGCCTGTCGAAGCCAGAAGGCCCTAAAGCTAAAGCAAAAATACCCTAAACCCTGAACCCCAAAATCCTGAAGCTTTAGTTGAACAACCTACTGCGCTAAATCCTGGCTGTCCTGAAGCCTGATAATCCACCCGAATCCCCAAGCCCCCGAATACCCTAATGCCCTAAACCCTAAACCCTGAATACCCTGAACCCTAAACCCCCAAAGCCCTAAACACGAAACCCTAAATCCCGAATATCCTAAACCCTAACCCCAAAGCCCTAAACACTAAGCCCTGAACCCCCGAATATCCTAAACCCTAAACCCCAAAGCCCTAAAGCCCGAAACCCTGAAGCCCTACACCCTGAACACCGAACTCCCCCCCACAAGCCGACCCGATCCTTCCCTCCGTCGGAGGTGCATGGCTCAAAGTCCGGGCTGCTCAGCGAGACTCGAAAAACTCCGGCTTTCCATTTCCGATAGTTGAAGGGGTACGGTCTAAGGTGTTGGGTTTAGGGTTTAGGGGTTTAGGATTCAGGGTCTAGGGTTTAGGGTTTAGGGGTTTAGGGTTTAGGGTTTAGGGTTTAGGGTCTAAGGTTTAGGGCATACGTGGAGGGTCGGGAAACTTAGTAAGTAGTTCTTTTATAGACTTATTAGTATCGTAACCCCGAATTATGGCCCTTCTTAGGGTACTTATACGTCTGCTTATTACCCACTTACTAAGTCCCCCGACCCTCCAAGTAGGATGATTTAGGGGGTTGAGGTCCTGCGGCGGTGAATGGCGAGTGGGGCCTTCTTGTTGGGGGGTGTAGCGCCCATGAGGTACAGGCTTCAGGGCCGAGGGATGGTTGCGTCGTTGCAGCCTCAACCCTACACCCTAAACCCGAAGAAACCCTAAAACCGAAACCCGAAATCCTTCAACCCTAAACCCTAAACCCTAAACCCGAAACCCGAAACCCTAAACCCTAAACCCGAAACCCTATACCCGAAACCCGAAACCCTAAGCCCTCTCTTGAAGTTTCCTGGCACGGCACTGGCGGAGGGCCTCTGCCGAGGTTGGGCCTCAGGGATTCGAACAAAAAGGCCCATGGCGGTCGGGGGCTCCGAACATCTCAGGCCACAGTCCAAGGGTTTAAGGTTTAGGGTTTAGGGTTTCGGGTTTAGGGTTTCGGGTTTCGGGTTTAAGATTTCGGGTTTAGGGTTTCGGGCTTAGGGTTTAGGAACATGTTGAACCCGTCCCCAAGCCCCGAAGCCCCCCCTCAACATTCTGCCGAACGACCTGGAGGAGCCCGGTTAAGGTTTAGGGTTTAGGGTTGAACCTACACCGAAAGGGAGGTGGATGTGTCACACGGCACCGTCGGACACGCTCACTTGCAAGTGTTTGCCCAAACCCCTAAAGCTCTGAAAGCCAAAAAAAAACCCTATAACAGCACGAAGCCCGCTAACTGAAGTCCCCAAGCCTTCAAAACCTTACCCCAACACCCTGCTAGCCTAATACCCCCAACACCCTAAACCCTCATGCACGAATGCCCTAAAACCCTAAACTCCCTGTGTCGGGAGCCTGACATCGAAAAGTGCGCTTCTTTCGCGAGGTTTCTTATCGGCGTCTCGGAAGCGCCCATGGTCCCCACCGAGGCGATGCCGGCATGGGATCAAGTCTTCCTCATTGGTGACATGATGCTCAGCTCTTTTAAGGTGTAGCTTTCAGGGTTTGGGGTTTAGGGGTAGGGTTTAGGGGGATTAGGGTTTAGGTTTTAGGGTTTAGAGGTCTAGGGTTTAGGGGTTTAGGGTTTAGGGCTTTAGGGTTTAGGGGGGTGTAGCTTTTGTTCGTGCCGTCATGCTCAGCCGTGTTTGTCTAGGGTTTAAGTTTCAAGGTTCCTCCACAGTATACTAGCTCAGCAGGGTGAAAGGGTATGGTTTGGGCTATATCTTATAACCCTCAACCCTAAACCCTAAACCCTTAAACCCTAAACTTCCTAAACCCTTAAACCCTAAACCCGAAACCCTAAATATGTAGAGTCTTGGGTAATCTTTCGCAATGTTCAGGCCGTGAGGGTATGCTGTCTTGCAATTTTGCGGTTTCGGGTTTAGGGTTTAGGGCCTATTTCGTGCAGACTCTGTATCGAGGCTCGTGTATTCGGGATCGGGGTGTTTGGGGCCTCCGGGCCGACAGCCCGAAGTGCATTTGCAGCTTTGCAGCCTAGTAGGTCCGAAGTGACCGAAGCTCCCCGATGAGCTTAGGACCTTCGCGGCTGTTTTCGCCCTCGACGTTTGCGTACGCATCCTGATCCTGCGGTTGCGGTTCTGGACAGTCTGGATGAACTACATCGATGTTGCTGTCAGCGTTGCTCGGTGATAGAAGCGTTGCATGCGGTGCTTGCTTTGGTTTCTACACTCGCTCACAGGCATGTAGTGCCCGTTTTCGCGCTTCATATTGTATGCTGCATGACGGTCATGGCGCTGAGGAGAGCGCGATGACGGTGGTGGTGATGATGATGGTGACGACGATGCTGGCAATGACGGATGATCATAGTGTGAGGTTGCAATCAGGGTTGACTATAAGGGTCATCGCGATGAAGACGACTGAGGATCATGGTGATGATGAGGATGGATGAAGGAGATAATCCTGTCACTTCGCAAGCCAAGGCTACATCCGTCATCGAAATCAGTTTGTCCAACATTCTTCGGCTGCCGGTTAGTCCCGTCTTATTCCGACTCTTGCGCATCGGAAAGTTGGCACGAGCCATCCGGATGGTCACTATGAGCTTCTCAGACTGTATGTCTGTGTGTCTGTCTTTGGGATTTCATGTTTGTATAAATTCAGGGTTGTGAGGATTTCTGATTACGAGTCCCAGGTTCCCCCCCAGAACCCTCAACATAGTAGGATCCATCTAAGGAACTCTAACAAGGGCCCAGGGTTTCTTCATCAGGTTCCTATATTCGGCTCTCGGGGATGGAGATCTAAGGTTGCCGAAGAATGCACGATAAGCGTGGAAGGTTTGTAGGATTGCCGTGGCAGGGACCTCAACAAAGAGGCAGCTAGGCTGGTCTTTGCTCACGGAACCTCTGCGGAACTTCGTTGGTAAAGAAGGGCTAAGGGGAAGAGGCAAAAGCAGCAGCAAAAGCTTAAGTGGTAACGGTGGTGGAGTCAATAGTTCCAGCGGCAGTGGGAACGATAGCGGTAGTGGGTGCTATTTAATCGTAGTGGTTCCGCCCCGCCTAGCGGCAGCAATCCCTGCTGAGTGAAGTCCGACCAACGGCAGCAAGAATACATATTCACATGGTGACAGGGGACCCTAAACCCTAAACCCTATGCTGCTACCACAGAAGTCCGAATGCTCACAACTGAGCTTGTCGTCAAGTTTGTGCCCAGCTGAGGCAATGTCTTGGCCTCGCTGCAGCTGCTTATCAAGTGCCTTGCTCTCATAAGAGCCCTTTGCTTCATTGTCTTAAGAGGTTTTGAGCCTTTCCTCCAAATCCCCAAGCGGTAGAACAGCACACCCCGAGACCATAAAGCGACAAGAGCACCCCGAACCCCCACGGGTTATACAACCCTAAACCCTGAACCCTATAAAAAAAAACGTTAAAAAACCCTAAACCCTAAACCCAAACCCTAAACCCTGAACCCTATAAAAAACCTTAAAAAACCCTAAACCCTAAACCCAAACCCTAAACCCTAAGTTCGGAACTTCAACTTCCTGGTTCGTTAAGAGCTATAGGGTAGAGGTTTCTGCCTTGTCACGAGCATTGGGACTTTGTTGCCGGGTGCCGTGGGTTCCGGAAGGATTTTGGAAGGGCCATGTCCCCCCCACAAAAGCATTCTGTTCGTGAGGGTTCAGGGGTTCAGGGTTTGGGGTTTAGGGCTTAGGGCTTAGGGTTTAGGGTTCAGGGCTTAAGGTGTAGGGGTTTAGGGTTTAGGGTTTTAGGGTTTTAGGGTTTAGAGGTTTAGGGTTTGGGGTTTAGGGGTTTAGGGTTACAGGTTGATGAAAGGAATTCAGTTGCAGTCTCAGACTTAGGCGGCATTTCGCTCACAAACAGCCCTGATGCCCGTCCGTCGTAGACTCAGACCCGTAGCTAGCCCAAGGCCAGGTGCACTGAAAGATATCCCACCCATCCACTCACTCCCTGAACCTTTCTACACTCTTATGCCATCAACCCGAATCTCGTCCTCCGTCGCAGGGTTCAATTTTCAGGTGGGTAGTTACTGTTGTAGGAGCCTTATAGAAGGTCTATATGCCTTACAGAAGCCTTATAGAAGCCCTATATACCCTAAACTCCCCACCTGTAGTTTCCTTTAAAATTGAGGGCTTTAGGGCTTTGGTGATTTCTTGTTCCAGGGCCCCCAGTTTTCAGGGTCTCTTTTTTTAGGCTCAGGGCCCAGATTGCGTTTTAGGAAACCAGACGTTGTGATTTCAGAAAAAACCCCAGCCCTGAGGTGCCTCGGTGCCTCCATGAGCCTTGCTGGCACTTTGAAGACGGCTTTCAGAAGGCTTCCTATGCGTAGATCAGGAGCTAAGTTAAGTTGGGGTGCGGTATGGGCCCCTAAACCCTAAACCCTAAACCCTTGACCTTTCTAAGTCTAGAGGCCATCTTCTGCTAAACCATTCGGTCTGTTGATGTGTGAATTGCAGGCTGGGTGATGGGTAATCTCTCCCTCTCTCTTTCTCTCTTTCTCTCTCTCTCCCGCCCTCTCTCTCTCACTCTCTGTCTCTCTCCCTCTCACACACACACACACACACTCTCTCTCTCTCTCTCTCTCTCTCTCTCTCTCTCTCTGTCTGGCCCTC